TGGAAGCATTTATAGAAGCTGTGGTCATTTCGATAATCAAAGCATGTTTACCTGTTTAAATCTGGTAATTTTAATTGCATTCTAACTCCATGAAGACTGGTAGATTGTGTGGAGTACATCAAAACTCAACAGACCAGAGAAGTGCCTAGTATTCATTTGGTTCTAAATAAGGCACCTTTATTCCCAAGGCTCAGAGGGGCTTTATCACTAACTGCAGGCCACATGTGGCCTTGTGAGGCTAACTGCTGATGTGGGAGTCATTTTCCTACCTCTCACTATTGAGATCATCTTGGTATTGAAAGCCTTGGGGAATGTACATTTCTATCTTTAAGACGTCCCAGTTCTTTAGCTGCTCTACTGACTAAACCAGAACTCTTCTCCTCCTGTCTTTCCTTTCTCTGTTTTGGCAATTGTTCAGGTCAAAAGCTGTGGCATCACCTTTCAGTCCCCATCCTCTGCATGCAGGGTGGCAGCAGGTTCGTCCCAGCCACCTAGCCGGGGGCCCTGCTGGCGGATCAGCTTCTTGAAGACCATGGTAAAAGCCGGACCGGATGGCAGCAGGGAGACCCACTAGGGGACATCCAGTGGCACAGGACCTGATTTGCCCCTGTGGCTGTTGAAAGGAGCGGGGCAGCGGAGTGGGGGAAAGGTGTTTCTCCATTCCCCAGCCTTCTGGGTAGGCCTGGGGCTCTGGTCAAACCTGCCAACAGCCTTGGGGAGGGTGACACTCTTTCTACCACTGTCAAGCTAGCAAGACCATGACTTATCCAAACAGTGCTTTGTCATCTCAGAGGCCAGGGGTGCTCCTTCCCACATGAGCAAGTCCTTAGCCTCTTTTGAAATGAGGTGTCTGCTCTCCCCAGGAAGCCTGTTAAAGCTGGGCCCAGCTGCCCCAGGATGTGCTACTATAAACCTGCAGAAACACCCCAAACAAGCAAGCTACACCACCAATTGGAAGAGTGAGGAAATCCACGGTCTTCAGTGGAAAAGTTTCAACCACACAGGCTAAAAGTTAGATTACAAGTGCTACGCATCTCAGAAAGTCCAGGCAGGTTGAGTGAACAGTCTCATTAGAAGGTGGCTAGGTAACTTGCCTGGAGCAAGAGTGTTTGGCAAGGCAAAGGAACTGGCATTCAGAATCCCAAGGCCAGAATGCTGGCACATGGCCACCTTGCTGCCCCCCCTCCATCTCTTTGTCCTCTGGACACCCACTTCCTCTCTTTCATGCCTCACAAGGCAAAAGCCCGCTGCTTGGCAGATTTCCCACCTCCTGGTCTCAAGCCTTATTTCCTCTCCTAACTGGTTCCGTTTCCTCTGTCTTCTTGGGATCTAGTGAGAATCCCAGGACTCTGGGGGAGCTGGAGCAAGCTCATGGATTCCTCTATTTCAGGACCTCTCAGGAACACTGTTCACTTGCAAACCAGTGGCAAGTTACACAGTTCCTACTTGACAGGGGCTAGACTTCTTGGAACTTAAATGACTAGGCAGCATCCAAATCAGAGGAGCCATAAACTAAGCCTGAGTCGGCCACATGAATTTTTAATAAATACCTAAGAGCTCTATAGCACACACAAGTGATCACTATGAGAAAGCACTACATAAAGTGAGGATTTCCACAACTGAACTGCTGGCTCTTAGTAAGATTTCTAAACCATGCCACATAGAGATAATGTGCTCGGTGCTTCTTTCAGCTGTAGTTTATACATTTGGTCAGGAGCACCAGGCTTCTCCTGCACCATGGTGCAGGAAAAAGGAGCATTTATAGCCCTGCTTTCCACTTTGTCAGTCGGGTGGATCCAGTCCTACGAACGAGCATTCCCAGCTGTGCCTTTGCTATTTACAGGAAAAGCCCAGAGTCATGGACCAAAAGCTCTAGATTCCACTTGTCAAAGGTGGAATAAAATCACTTATGTCAAGGGGTTTTAAAAGCTGGGAAGCCATTAAGGAGGTGGGCCTTATGCACGTCCTTACTGGATGGAACCATAATTTTTGAACTGGGCTAAACCACAGATCCTCCCAAAAACTCTGCACGGATCTGCAACTTCCTACAGTAACAGACTTATGCTTTCAGAGACAGCCTTGGCAACCAATTATGTTCAGCCAAGATTAGTCTTCTGACTCCACCAATCAGAATACCCTGTAAATATAGATGCTCTTAAAAAAAAAAAAAAACCCAAACCCTGGTTTTTGCTCCCTAGTGGGACACTATTTGGATTGCTACCCGAATCTGTGTACCCCAAATTGCAACTCTTTGATCCCAAATAAGTAGTTGTGCTTAATTATTGCCTCCTGACAATTTCAGGTTGACACTCTCTTGAACTCAGTGCTGTGTTGCTGAATGACCTCGTGTATGGGCACCACGTTCCCCACACGTCCAGCGTGGTAAAGCACCCCTGCAACGGGCCACTGGAGTAGGGATCAGCTGTTTGGTTTTGTTCCCCGGAGCACCCAGTGCCTGACACAGCTTAAGATGAAACAACTCTAAAATTACCACCAATGGATGGGAAAGGGCTTTGAATTCCAAGGGAAATGAGGAGGAAACAAATTATGGCTGACACACTGCTGCGAGGAGGAGTAGGCCAAGTACTGTTCTGGGAGAGGCTCCATACACATGAGGAGTTAAGAGTCCGAACCTGAAGAAGTGTTCATTCAGTCTTACAAACAGGAAGCAGTCTATACATTGCACAGGAACAGAAATAATTTCTGGGTAAAAAACCTCTTACCTGGCTTATCCGTCCCTGAGGAGGGAAGAAGCCTGAGTTCTCCGGCCAGATCTGCAGGACTTATCATAGAGACTCCGGGGCAAGGCTGCCACCTGTGTTAAAAGCCATTGTTCTTGAAGTGATTTCATTGTTGGAAATTGCCAAAGCAGTGTGAGTGAAGGGAGGAGGCTGTCCAGGCCGGTATGCACTGTTAGACCAGAGGTCTGAGCCTCTACTGTCTGCCCTGCTTCTATGGAGAAGAATTGCAGTTGACATTCTTGATGAGTGTGCTTCATGTATATACAAAACGGCTACATTCCAAGGCTCTGACGTAAATGTTGGCCTTTACCAAACACAAATGTCTACATACAACACTGGATCTGGTTAGCAGTAACGTGAGAGCTGCTATGCAGACATGACAGATTCTATTTTTGACACTTTATTGACAAAACAGAACTCCCTTCCCTTCACCCTCACAGAGAACTAGTCTTTTGTTTTTCTTATGGGTAACATAACTTACCTGTTTAACCAAGGCTTGTGCTGGCATGCTACAAAGGTAATTCAGATAGTAGCCTACCCCCTCCCAAGCCCTCCAGTTCTGGTTTGAACTGTCCCTACACAAGGAATTGTGTTGCTATCTTATTCAGAAAAGCAGAAGCTGTAATAACAGTAATGGAACATACTAGGCTTTGGATAAACTTTGTTGTCCTATTCTCATTAGCTCAAATTAGAATAAAGTTACTATGAGTGAGAGTTGCAGCATTCAGTCTCTTTAGAGGAGGAAGAGCCCCGGACCAGGGAGGATGGAAGGCGGTCTGTGCTAGAACTCTTGTCAACATTCCTTGCCTAATGCAAAGACTTCTTCGAAAACCGCAGAACTCAGAGCATCTGAGAAACCAGGAAAATAAAAAAAAGATGACATAAATCTGTATCAGGCAGGGGAGGGGAGAAGACTGTAAGGAAAGACCGAAATCTTGTGCTGTAAAAGCAGCACCCCCCTCCCCCCAACCTCCACAACAGCACTACTTCCAGAACCAGGGGAAACTCTGATGTGTCCGCTGTGGTTAATTTAAAACAAAAGGAGTATTTGTGGTTCCTCTGCCAAAGTTTTAAGGACTTTGAGGACTAGCAGCTAGGGATCCAAATTACATCCAGGAGACTCATGAGGGTATTTCCCCCCCCTAAACCTGCACAGGAACAAGGATGACAAAAAATTATCTTCCTTTTGTCTGGAATTTAGTTTTTTTATGAAAAGATTAGAAAAATCAAAATGACCAACTGCCACAATAATACTTCTAACCATTATTGGCACTTACCCTTAAATGGAGTCATTTTGGAAGAGTTCCCCAGTCCCTGCCCCTTTTAATTAGCCATTAGCATCCTGGAGGGCTAAGGAAGAACAGCTGATAAGCGGCGAGCAAACAAGTGTACCTTTGGTCTTCACCAAATCCAGAGGTTGTTTTGAGTTCTGTGGACAATGGAAGCTTCAGTTCTTTGACATCTCTAGGACTGAAATGAACCAGAGCCACAGGTGACCTTGTCTGGAGACAGACAGGGTCTTCCCATCCATCTTCTGGAACAGGCAGAGCAGGTAGGAGGTGACGGGAGCTCTGTGTGGTACCAACAACCAAAAGTGAAGATGAGGTGACAAAGGCTAGAAAGGAGTCATTTATTAAAAAACAAAAACAAAACCAACAAAACAACAAAAAACAAAAACAGCCCTCAGCAGAATTTGAAGACACAACAGAGGAACGCACCCTCCTGATCGCTTTATGACCTCATGACCGCGCGACACGCACTGCCTATGAGCTCTGTCCATGGAGAAGCACAGCACACCAGTTCATTGCACAGGTCAAAGCAGAGGCAGGTCACCTGCTGAAGGGAGAGAGCGGGACATGTGGGCCTTTCTCCCACCTCTGCTGTCAGGTAGCCAGGCTTCTCTCAGCCTCTACAATGGGCCATTTTTTATCAGGCCGGGGCTGCTGAGACAAAAGCAAGCTGACACGATCAGACTAGTTATACCAGAACGCTGGCTCTCCAGCAAAGACCACAGCACACGGTCAAATTCTAAGGGGACAGAGCAGCTTGCTGTGCCTGGAATGTAGGGCCCAGCTCAGAGGGGCATCGGACATTTGTCCCCAATACCCAGTTGTCACCACAGGTAAACCAAGACTATAATCACAACAGCAAGGACAGGATCATGTTGCTTTTTCCTTTTTTTTCTTCAAGGAGTGAGGGCATGGAAAATACAGCACACCAATGAAACAAAAGGCCAAAAAAAAAAAAATACAAAAACAATAGAAAATAGAAAAATGTATTTACAAGTAGTACATTACTATGATCAGAAAGCACAAAGACACCTGCTGCTATATTACATGCATTGGTTCAAGAAGAAACTACTAAAAACCCTGCAAGGGAGAAGCCTGTAAAAACAAAACAAAAGGGCCAAAAAGTTTGAACTTTTCATCCCTAATTGGCTACACTGATCAAAACCAAACGAGAGCCCCCGGAAGTCCATGAGTATATCAGTACGAATACTATACTGGTTTTTAACTGCACGTTCAGTTGTGGAGGGGAGAGACAGCAGCGTATCCATATACAAGGAAGCCGGAGTAAACTGCTCTACATGCTAAAAATTACAGCAAGTCCCTGTCTGCTACACAGCATGATCTTAGCAGGTTTTAATTCTTGTTTATTCATATATATTGATGTGTGCGTGTGTGTATGTATAAAAACCGTGCCCTTGTTCACTGCCAACACAACATCTGGGTGGACATGAACTCATTACAACAAATTCTTGTGTATGTTGTAAGAAGTCACTCAATGTCTGTGGATTTAATAAGTCACTTCACACCACAGAAAATATTTAATAAATCCAGAAAAAGGAAAGAATATAACGACAGAAGCTCTTCTGTCTCAGTTCTCTGAAACGGAGTCCCCCATAGGAAACTGGTCCCAAAGTTCTTGAGGGTTCACTGAAGAAACTTCGGTTTGCTAATATTTTTCATCCTTTTAGTGTTCAAAAGGTAGAGAACGACTCCTCGCCGTGGTCAGTTTTAAACAGTCATATCTCCAACCCCCACAGGTAACAGTCTGGTGCAGGTTCATAAAAACGGGGGAGGAAGGAGCGCTGGGGAGGGCCTGTCACTTCAGGAGGGGATCCGCCTCTACAACGGCAGGAAGAGAAAGAACCAAGCAGGGCTCCAGCACCTCGCTCCTGCAAACAAGCTCCCTGCAAACGCAAAATCCAGTCACACGTCAGTTCCTTATACAGGTACATCTCCAAGTACCAGGCCAGCTCTAAGAGGAAACAAAACCACGCGTTGACAGAAAAGGACTCAGATGGCCATTCTGGTCACTCTCTGGGATCCATCATACTTCCAGGAATCGGGAGCTGCTGGACTTGGAGTGGAATGGCTCAGACCACATTCGCCGAAGGTCACCCTGGGGAAGAAGGAACTTTACTAAGTTATGGATTTAAACATGAGCCACACACATCTATGAGTCCTTTCTGATTCTAGATCTCAGATTAGACAGCTTCTGTGGAGAATCAAAGAACATTCAAATTTTACTCACTGAAAAGTAACCCACCATTCCTTGAAGAACTCACTAAAAAAGCTCTTAGGCCCCTCTAGCAAAGAAGGGTGTGAGTTCTATCATTTATGGGTGAGATGCTAAAGCCAAGTTAGTTTACCTCTCTGCTTCCTCCTCTATAAAACGGGGATAATACAAATCTTGTAAATCAGGTAATGCTTCAAGTCTAGCTATAATCATATATTTCTTAAATATCTCCCAATTTTTTTTTTAAGATTTTATTATCTGACAGCACAAGCAGGGGTAGTGGCAGGCAGAGGCAGAGGGAGAAGCAGGCTCCCCGAAGAGCAGGGGGAACCCGATGTGGGACTCGATTCCAGGACCCTGGGATCATGACCTGAGCTGAAGGCAGTCGCTTAATCAACTGAGCCCCCCAGGTGCCCAATATCTCCAAATTTTAATGCTGAGTATTAAAAAAGCTATTAGGTGACAATATGGTGCTGCTTTTAAGGGAAGTCTCTGTAGCTGGGCTCTAGGGATTTCAGTTAGTTCACCCATCACTGGGAGGCATAGTAGTCTAACTCCCTAGCATTTTCTGCCAGTGGCTGCAACAGGCTGGAAGAAGTTGCTAATACCAGGTGAGCAAAGACTCACCGACCCACCATCAAGGTCAAGAGCTCCGGGGGCAGACCCACCTCTGGCAAGGAGAATACATACCCAAGTCCAGGGTCAATGCCAAGTTACTGCTTTCACAGGTTTCTAACTGCTTCTCTCACCTTTAAATAGGCCATCGTGAGGAGCGGCAATAAGGTGAATGGCACCAAATAGAGAAGGGCGGGCTGGGCCGCTCGGTGAATGCGGGACGCCACAGTTGCAGTGAGCAGACCTATGAAGGGAGACACATTCGTGAGCAACACCAAGGTGTCAGCCCTCAGAGAGGAGAGCCTGCTATCTGGCTGCTGCCTGCCAGGGTCTTGATCAGACAGCTCTCCTGTGACGCCTGCCGTCCAGTGGGATGCCCAGTGAGGGGCCCAGCTTGTGATCTCTGCCCAGCGTGGAACAGCACAGCTTTGAAAGTCTTAAAATTCCAAGGACCGGTGAGCGGCCCAAGCCCTCACTCTGCCCTGAGTGTGCCTGGTCCTCCTGTCTCACGTAGTAGGTAATGCTGGACTCAGAGGCAAAAGAGCTGGGGTCAAGTTCTGACTATGCTGCTTCTGCAAGCGGTGTCAGCTGGGTCGTTGTGCTTCACCTCTCCGAGCCTCAGCCTCCTCTACTCTGCAACGGGGCTAATGCCACTCGCGCCACCGGTCTCTTGAGCCTGAGTGCTGAAATGAACCACCCTGCTGTAGCCACTGGGGGTGCAGACAGGTTCCCACTATTCCTATAGCCCCATTACGTGGGTCTCTCCCTGCCTGTATAGAAGTGAGCTGGCTAGAGGAAAAACTGGCCCAGGGAGAGTCTGAGGTTAGAGGTGACAGACTGGTTAGATCATTGTTAAAACATCTTCCCACAGTATTCTTTGGACGTGCTGCTGGACAGGGAACTGGGTTGACAAGCACAGACAGCATCTGTCATTTCATGGGCCACTGTTATTCTTTCTCTGTGGCAGTCGACAATAGCAAACAGAGTTACTGCTCTCCTTCCATCTAGTGTCTGCAGCTGGAAGATCTGATTTAACTCCAGGGCTTGGAGGACAAGGCTCTCCGGCTCTCTCTTACCTACAAAATATCCAATGAGGGTGCAGTGAAAGTAGGAGACCTTCTGCATGCGTCCGGAGATATTGGCGGGTCCCGAGGCACTGCAGGAGTCACCGTTGGCTTGTTTTTTGTAGTTGTCATAACGAAGGACAAAGCACAACAGGAGTCCAGGCATCACGATGTCCCCAATGCCCAACATAGAGAAGTGACTGCCAGTGGAGCTGGAATGCAGTGTCATAGGTCAGGGATGCCACCCTCAACAATCCCATTTCTCCTCCTCCTGTGCAGAGTCGTCTGTCAGCTTTTTAAGAAGGTGGACTTATCTGAATGGGAGATGGAAATCTCTAGAGGTGAAACAACACTAGTTTTTAAGAGTTTAGAGATTACAAGCCACAAGAGTACTGGCAACAGACGTATTCAACCAGGCCCCTCACTGCTTCAGGAGAGCACCCCTAAAGTGACTGCTAAAGTCATCTGTTTAAGTACTGCCACCTCCAGAAATATCAAGCAATTCAGTATTTGTCACACATTTGCTGCTGTGACTTTAAACAAGCACCTGACTACTACCAGACATGGATATTAAAGCAACACAATTTTTTCCAAGATTGTATCATCAGCAATTGTATAATTTTAGCATTAAGACATATTTTTACAAATGTTTTAGAAGTAAAAAAGATCCAGATTCTCCTGTTGCTTTCCTCCAGCCAACTCTAAAATATGGTAACAGTAGTAACATACCATTGTTTGATAACATTAATAATAAAACACCTGTATCATTTAATGATAAATCTTTCCAAGTCAAATCAATATTCTCTTCTTCATTTGTAAAAGGGAGAGGATGACTCACAACCCTTTTCCAGTCTAGGATAAGAATGTTGATGACAAAGGCTAATCAAGGTTCGAACACAGAGGCACAGGGAGACAGTGTGTTCACTGTCACAACATGAGGCCCGACATGCCGGTCCTACCTTGGGAAGACCAGTTTTCCAGGCAGGGACAGGCGAGGAACATCGCGCCCAACATTGGGCCCCAGGTGGAGCTTCCGGGATAGAACGTCAAGGGGATTGTCAGCCGGTTGCGTGGCCACCTTCACCATGACATTGCTATTGAAGATGTAGGCAGAGAAAAACACCTACCAAATGCCGAACAGAGAGACGTCTTTAACAGAGGAAGCTGGAAGCAACCTGACTTCAGCATCAGCCCTCCTTGTTCTTAAGAGCAAAGTCTCAGAATACTGCACCATCAAGCTTTTTTGGCTGTAAGCTCGGAAGTGAAAGAAAATCTTTGCTCCCAGGGCAGAGAATCTTGTCTGCCTGCTCTCTCCCTCACCCCGAGAGACACACACGTACTGTTTAACACGTCTCAACAAACAAAGGCATGGACAGATGCCTGCTCACTTTTAACATGTACAGTTCAGGACTAGAGGGAATGATCTTAGGCAGGAGGTACTCACACAAATGCCCAGCCAGCATTTGGATACTTATAGTTAACTTTCAGGAATGAATGCTCCAATTAAACACAAGAGTGGTGGCTTCAGGGAAACAGACACTTACCCAAAAGACGTCGTAGATTAGAAGCCCTGAGAGAAGCAGGCAGGACACCTTGAGGCTGGGCAGGCGGACAAAGGCGATCATGGCGACACAGAGACCCATGGCCAGGGCTGGGGAGGAGACCACAGACATTGGTCAGTGTGAGCCAATGGGCTCATCCTCTTTCCACAAGCTATTCTGCTTATAAACCTAACAGTTTGTAAGTCCCCTCAAAAATCAAGCAGCTCAGTTTAAGCTCCATTTTAAGACATTTATACCCTACTTGTGCAAAGTGCCCACTTTAGACAATTTTGACCTGCTGGTCTTTGGGAACATCCCTTTTTTCATGTTCTTGGATAGTGTTCAACTGTGTAAGACCCAGATTCTGTTTTGAATGATAAAGCTCTCAGCCAGGCCCCAGTTTAGGACTTCTTAGCTCTGTTTCTTGCCTCCCCCATCCCTGAAAATCCTTCCTCCTTGCTCCTGACTTTACATGGTCTGCCCACACCTGAGATCACATCCCCTTTTATTTACTCAGCAATTCATTCTTCTATCCTGGCCTTATTTTTTTTTCCCTCGCACCTCTGAAAATCTGACATATGCGCTATATATATGTGTTTAAATTCTCTCTCCTCTCAACTAAAATGCCAGGTCCTTAAGGGCATGGTTCCCTGCTGCGAGACTAGAACAGGTCAGGCAGATGAATGGTCTCTCCCTGCCTTCAGCTCTCCTCCATTCTTTTTTTTTTTTTTATTATTATTATTTTTAAAGATTTGATTTATTTATTTGAGAGAGAGAGAGAATGAGAGATAGAAAGCACGAGAAGGAAGAGGGTCAGAGGGAGAAGCAGACTCCCTGCTGAGCAGGGAGCCCGATGCGGGACTTGATCCCGGGACTCCAGGATCATGACCTGAGCCGAAGGCAGTCGCTTAACCAACTGAGCCACTCAGGCGCCCCTCTCCTCCATTCTTCTGAAACACAGGTCTGATTAGACCACATAGCTGCTTCTACACTTCCCGTGGGTTCTCACAGTGGGATGAAGGTCAAACAACTTGGCTAGGCACTGACACGGATGTAAGGGAGGGTGCTCTCTACTGTGCATGTCCCCTGCCCTCAGCATGCAGTGTTGTGACCCTGTTCTCTAGCCACCTAAATATGATCACATCTCTCAACACCACTATGTTCCTTCCTGTTCTCCACAAAAGGCCCTCTTCGGGGAAGTCTCTCCTGTTCTAATCAGATTAAGTACCTCCCCCCCGCCCCCCCATGATGCCACAGAACTTGAATCTCTCTCAACTTGTTCATCCATTCTCTAACAGTGTGATTAATTTATATAAAAGTGAATTTATTCCCTAAACTTGGTGCTCCTGGTAGACAGAAACCATGGCTTATTCTTTCTGGGAAGGCCCAGCACTTGATAGACATTCAATAAACATTTGCTGAATGAATGAAAAATTATGTTCTGTCTACTGTGAATTTCAAATTATTCTAAGGAAAGTAAGAAAAGCAAGTAAGGCCATATTACAGATGGGTATCATTTTAATAGAATTGATAGTAAATTGTCAATACATGTAGCTAAGTGGGCAAATACAGCAGTTTAGACACATCAATGCAACTAATATTTGGTGAGTTCCTACTGTGGGAATGGTGTTGCACAAACAAAAGAGAGAAACCATTCCCATCCCTGGAGACAGCACTAAAACTGGGAAGAAGAACAAACGATCTCAGTTTCCCCTGTCATTGTTATCAAGTGGTCACTAATCTCCATGGTGTGCACTGCATTATATGTTTTGGAGAGATGTGGTCAAACATAATTTCTGATTTTACAATAATCTAGGATGTGCTCATTTTACTAGGATCTCCTTTAATTTTTTATAAATTTATAAAAACAACCAAGGCCCCTGATATAATCAACTCATACCCATTTTTCAATAATGAGATTTTCCATTATAATGATCTTCAGAAACAAAGAGGGCTGTGCCATGAATCAATACACAGGACACTGACAGGGATAAGCTGGCTTGAACAACAACAGTGGCCAGTGGAGGGTGGGAAGCCCCGGGGGCAGACGCAGGGGTGATGGTGGTAGGGGAGCAAGAAGTAATCTGTTCAGGAACTTAGAAGTGCATATGTGGAGTGCGAAGTGCATCAAGGGAACAAAGGAAGAAATGAAGGCCTGAGATGGACGGACAAGGGACAGGCATATGGCCAGTGAATGTCAGCGGACTGATGATACCTGAAAGTGGGGTATGGTAACGAAAGGGACAGACAAGCAAAAGGACAGGTTCCCAAGGTTAGATGTATATGCCTCTGTGACACACGCAGGTGACTGGTCCGTTCCAGAACTTTTCAATTGATCACACAGTTACTTAATCCTAAACTGGCAGGAGCCTTTCCAGCCATACGGTCTAAGCATCCACTTGTTGCTTTGCCACTCCTCTTATACGAATCCTACCCCATGCGAGAGGAAACCACCCATGGACAAGATAGAACTGCTCAGTAACAGGATTTTCCATGACTCCAGACAATGCCATTCGATCTCTCATCTTCCAAACTAGAAACTCTGGGTCCGTTTTCAGTTTATCACAGTCTTTCATCATGTATACTCACGCTGCAGCCATTCTGGGTGCCACCCTTTGTGGTCACAGTACACCTGTTCATGCTTCCCTATACCTCCCTAGTTTGGCAGGTGTCCTTTCCCACTCTGGCTCTCTCCCGCTTACTCTTCACTGCCACTGGAAACAGTCACTGTGCACTTCCTGCATATGGTACTAGGTTCCCTACTCTGTGACGGATCCAGTCTAATCACAAGTCGCACGGCTTTGGGCACATTTCACAGGACAGTGAGGCTTCAGAGTCTGTTTTCCTTTGCTCCCATTCCTCAGCTACTCTTTCGTCTCCAGCTAAGCTGAGTGATACCCTCTTGCAGTCATGCCAAGCAGCCCCACTGTGCTGTGAGTCCCACATGTGAAGAGGAAGAAGGCATCTCCTGACTCTTTCAGACAGTAAGTATCCCTCCTACCCCCAAACGAATATTACCACAATCTGTCACATCCCTGAAACACAAGTATTCATCTAGTTTGCCTCTCTTTTTCTTCATGCTTTCATTTAAATAACCCTTCAAAGTCTTACCTCCTCCTTAGGACTTTTCCAAGCCAAAATGAAGAGGAGCGGTAACTTTCCCTCATTCCATGTTGCTTGCGAAACTCAAGACTCTCCCAAATAGCTTTACTAACAATCTTAACTTTTGGTTAAATGTAAATTAACCAAAAGTGTTAAGAGAAGTAAATTACTAATCTTAGCCAGCTATCTAGAATTACTTTCAACGTATTATATAATCTTTGTGTCACTTTGCCTTCCACGACCGGTAGGGCCAGGGACAAAGACAATAACACCGAACTCAGCGAAAATGTTCTTGAAAAGGAACACGTAACCTATAAGATCTTAAGCAGTGCTCAGTACTGTAGGATCTGTAGAGCCTTTATCTTAGCCCTATGTAGACTAAATGCCAGAGTCTAGCATTTTAAAACAATTACTAGATTTTTGGCACTGCACGTTTTCTAACCATAGATTAATAACAAGTGTATTAAATGAGGGGCTGGACTAGACATCTGTTCAAGACTTCTAGTTCCTGAACTGGTTAGTGGATGTATACTGTGGACCTGGTTTAATGATCTTTGAACAGTAAATGTGTGTGCACAAGATTCATCAACTTTTAGCTAATGTACCACACCACCCATTGGTCACATTCTTTCAAGGCTTCCCAAATTTGAAAGGTTAATTTGCCAGATGAAGGTGAAAGTAGATTAAAAAAAATTCTAGGTTTATAGTTCAAGAACATGCTGAACTCTCTTCTTACTATTAATGTTTTTTAGTATATAAGCTTGAAAATATACTTCATGCCTTGCCCTAAAACAACATTTATCACTCTGTTTTCACTCTAAATTAACTTCAAAGAACAGGCTTTCATTAAGAAACATTCATTTAAAAAATTCTACCACCAAATTATCACTGCCTACGATGATTTTGATTCTGCAGAGAAGTCTACAAAGATAATTTCCATGTCAGACAAGAACAAGTTTCAAAACATTAAAGACCATGGCTAGAAAGCTACATTTTCTTAACAGCTGAAAACAAGTCACACACACATCAAACACTGGAGTCTGAAAAACAATTTAAAAAAGCTCAAAGGTTTCCCTTTTTGGGGGGTGGGGAAGGGGGAGAACTCTATTCTTGGTCACAAGGGCAATTTAACCAGTGCAAACTAGTAGAGAGAAGAGACTCCTAGACAAGTAAATTTTGGGGACCAGCAATACTGACAGAAGGTGATATAAATGCCTACACACTGGGGTTAAGTGGGGTTTGGGTAACCTCACTGAACCCTCACAGAATTTTAGCTATCAGGTGAATTTCAGGATGGAAATGTATTTCTCATAGTGATCACTGGGAAAAGAAAGTTGTCTGCTATGGGCAGCTCTCACTGACTCTAGAGTCTAGACGAAATCCTGTGGTGCAACGGACTCTGCAGTCTGTCTTACGGGGAGCTGCTTATCTTTCTTCTGCTAGTGAATCTGGTAAGCCTGGCCCTGGCCCTGCCTGCAGAAGTGCAATGAGGAAAATTCTGCTGACTTGTTCTAAAGTATGTGTCTCAGATGGCTGTGTAAATCAGTGTATTTTGAAAAGAATGTCACCTTCCAATGCCAACCTTTTCTTTTTTAGTTACATACTACTAGAAAATAGGTATTTTTCTGTTCTTTGCAATGCTTGGGAAGAGTAGAGATGAGAGTATAAACAACACGTTGTTTGCTGCTTCGAGAGGTTATCTTTTTGGGTCAGCAGGTTGGTAAACTTAAAACTCTTAGGTTTAACCTATAAATAGTATCATGTGTGTCTGGACACATGAATAAAGAGTTCCATGAAAGCAGAGCCACCAAAAGTAAGTGGGGTCATAAAGAACCTCAGAGGGGGCTGAGAGACTTCAAGTTTAATACCATCTGTCATCATCTGGACTTTGAGTCTGCCAGCTTTGAGACTTATCAGTCTGGTTAGGTGATGACTGTCTTATATTACTCTAGTCAAAACAGTGGCACCTGAAGCTTTTGTCGTCTCATTTAACATAATCTTTGTATAGGGAGATCATTTATGTGTAATATTTATGGGACTGGGCTCTTTCATTTAAGGACATCAGCATAAAACACTTTCTTTTAAGAGTATATAGCTAACAGTCCTCCAGTCATTTTTTTTTTTTTTAAGATTTTATTTATTTGACAGAGACACAGCGAGAGAGGGAACACAAGCAAGGGGAGTGGGAGAGGGAGAAGCAGGCTTCCCGCCGAGCAGGGAGCCCGATGCGGGGCTCGATCCCAAGACCCTGGGATCAAGACCCGAGCCGAAGGCAGACGCTCAACGACTGAGCCACCCAGGCGCCCCTCCTCCAGTCATTTTAAATGGACTGAAATAATCTGGTTTAGATATTAACCAACCAGCATTTCTAAACAGTTTTTGTTCAGAAGTAGTAGAGGAGAAATATCTGTGCCGCTTGTTTCCTCATCAGGAAGCACTGGTTTAGGTGAGGTTAAAGGATATAATCATAAAAGCAGCTATGAGGCTGATTTGGATTAATATTTACCAGCCCTACTCCAATCATTATCATGACTAAGACTCCTTAATTTTCTATAACACAGATTTAAAAAGAGATTAGGCTCTATTAAAGTCTTTCAAAATGACCTATACGCTTTGGGGCACCTGGGTGGTTCAGTTGGTTAAGCGTCTACCTTCAGCTCAGGTCATGATCCCAGGGTCCTGAGATCGAGCCCCGCATCAGGCTCCCTGCTCCAGGGAGTCTGCTTCTCCCTCTCCCTCTGCTCCGGCACTCTCTCTCTCAAATAAATAAATAAAAAAAAAATGACCTCTATGCTTTTAGGTTAAGTCATTATGAAGAAATCAAGAGTTAATCTCAGGAAAACTCAAATGTACACACCTGGTATTTATCAGTAATGCCTAGTATATAAAAATAGGCATTCACTCTTCTACTGTAAGCTGGGCAAGCAACTTGCATGACTTTAGATGTAATTTCTTTTTCTCAAACTTATTCTTTATCAATCTCCAATCCGTAGGAATACTGAAAGCACTGATACTCGATTTGGGAAAATGAATAGTGCTGGTAACCACTTAAAGACACTGCATACTTCAGGATGCTTATACACATTCCAAAGCAAATGATCACAGAAATGTTTTTTACAAGGCAATTTAAGAAGCTAAAACAAATGACCAAACCTGTCAGAAATCAGCGAATGTGAATACCATACGGTCAGGCACTGGTGATTTTGACTCTGCCTTCCATTCCAACTCATTAAAGATCTCTATATAAACCTAAGAGGTAATTTGATCTGCAACCTCAAGGAACTACTTTTGAGTTTCAATAGGTTGGTATATGGTAGGCACTCAAAAAAAGCAACGAACAACTATGACAATAAATATATACAAATTATTTATAAAATTATAAATATATAATTTATATTTTATGGCAACCACTCACCTGTTCTCCATTGCTGTAATTCTTATTTTTTTTTAAAATATTTTTTGCTGAAGAAGTTTATCAGATATTTGTATGGTTTACAATTTGAAAAGTCCTTTCTCCATAATTATCACCTTGGGTTAAAATAATGTGCCATTTTAATATAGCTTTACAGAGCTCTCAATCCACTTGATAGCCTGTTCCATCATAATATTCCATTTCACCATTTAAACTGGCACACATAGATTTCAAATCCCTGAACTAGTCAAAGGAAATTACGAGGGAAAAAAAAAAATCCCTTGAAACAAAAGGATAAGTTTTTAGTTTCCTCAAGGTTTAAACTTACTTCCTTATCAAGGTTGTATTACTGATTCTGGATTGCATACACACATGTGCAGACAGTTTAAAATCCTTTTTGTCAAATTCTATCTGATTCGACCATGAGCAGAACATTGTGACACAAATGTTTGCTACTCCTGAACTTGAGGCGCGGACAGGGAGCATCCTCTGGGTGGCTCTGTGCTTAGATGACACTGAGTGACAGTTCTACCATAGCTGAGTCATCCTCAGAGCTTCGAGGACACAGTGCCTTAGTGAACAGGAGCCTCTAAAGAGCCCTGTTTCCAAAGTCTTGATTAGCCTTGTGTTCACTTGGAATGGGTAACAGGAATAAGTGCAATCTATAACCATCATCTGACTTTCAAATTCCTCCCTTAAATATTCCTTAGATAGTATCACAAATTGTATAAAATTGTCTTTTGTATTTTAACTTCCTTCTCTTCTGAAACACCAGAAGAAAGGAAAAAGTGAACAGACCTTGTAGGGCAGAGCAGTTAGATAAAGCTTCTTGAGATCAGGAAAGTGAACTGTGAAAATGAAAGTAAGGACTGAATGAAAAAGGAGGTGGAGAGGCTTACGTGGTCTTTAAGAAAAGTTTTAAAATGTCTTAAGGGAGAGAAAAGAATAATGGGGGATTTTTGGAAATGTCCTTCCAAGATACTCTGATGAGAAGTATGAAATATACACAAGAGTTCTGTGACTGGGTAAGGGACTTCTCTGAACCTGTTTCCTCTTCTGTCAAGTGGGAACAACAGACGTATCTACTTCAAAGACTTTTCAGGATTAAATGAGATAATCCATGTAAACATCCAGGAAAGTGCCCAATGCATAGCACTCAATAAATGTTATTAGCTCCTCCTGCCATTCTTAGTTCATCCTGACCATCATCATCAACAAAGAGGGATTCTCATGCGCTACAGGCAGGAGTGTAAACTGCTACCGCCTTTCTGAAAGGCAGTACAGTAATAGAGAAAAAAAACCTTTTTTTTAATACAAAAATCCTCTGATCTAGGAATTTCCTATCTAGGAACTCATCCACAGAAATAATCATATTAACTAATCTGACATGTGTATCCAGAGGTGGAACAAGAATGTTTACCTCAGGGTTATTTATAACGAAGATTAAAAGCAATCTAAGGGTCCAGCAATAGTTAAGTAACATACAAGGGAATACTCTGGAATTAAGAAGGATATGCTATATCTTTATGTAATGATATAGACATGTATTTATATCATTACATAAAAAGTCTATCGTATGTAACACATGTATGACATATATTCCACATATATATTTATATATGTTATAGTATTATTCCATTTATGTAAGATAGTCTCCACAAAAACGTGTACATGAATGTTCATAGCAGCACTATTCGTAATAGCCAAAAAAGCGGAATCAACTGATGAATGGATAAATAAAAGTGGCATAGCTATGCAACTGAGTATTATTGGCTAGAGAAAGAAATGGAAGTACCAATTCAGGTTATACCATGAGTGAACCTTGAAAACATCATGCTAAGTGAAAGAAGGCAGACACACAGGTCATATAATGTATGATTTTATGTGCAATGTTCAGAAGAGGCAGATCCATACAGAAAGTAGATTAGTGGATGCCTGGGGCTCCGGTGGGGGAATGGGGAGTGACTGCTGGGTATGGGGTTTTGGAGGGTGGGTGATGAAAATACTCCAAAATTGTAGCGATGGCTGCACAACTCTGAATATTTAAAAACCACTGAATTGTACACTTATACACTTGTGCACTATTCCTCAAAAAGCTGTTATTCAAAAATATCTTTTAAAAATATCTTAAGAATGTGCCTAAAAATAAAAAACTCAGCAATATGTAATACTGCCTAAGGACACCTAATATTCACAGTAATCAGAGGAAATATTACTAAAACACAGAAAGCAAAGGAAGAGAGGACAAATTTAACTGTATAAACTACATTAAAACTTCAACCTTTCACATGTTACTCACCATCCATGAGAAGCCAATGGCCAGTGAGAACCCAAATAAGGACAAGCATGACAGACAGAGAGAATGATAGTAATTCAGCAGCAGTGAAACGCCCACAGCAACCAAAGGAAATCCTGGAAAACACACATCATTTATTGGACTAATAGGCAATACATTACATTTCAATAACCAAACTCTACCTTGGTCCTTCATGATCAGAGCTCATGATGACCAAGATGAGAATAGCAGGCAATACCCAGACACCCGGAATTCAAAAATACCCAAACCTCCTTGGAGTAAGCTACAGAAACGCAGAGGAATTAATTATATTTCTGCACCCATCTGATATTATACTTTTTATCCCAAATTATCAGCATGGATGTTTAGAAGTTAAAGTGACAACACCAATCTTTGGAGAATTAAGTACAGTATAGGGGAAGTTCTGTTTTTATGAGGAAAACAAAATGAGGAAATACTGACCGTCAATTCACTGGGCAATGATGAATACACATAAAATGGGCAATAACTCTATTTCGTTATCACTAATTCCTGGGAAAATCAGCTGCCCCAAGCGACTGGTTTCCTAAGTGCATACAGCGTCTCTGTTAGCACAGCATTTTGTTTCCATGGAGCAATGGCTTTAGGAGTTAAGGTGTGAAAGGTGTGAACCTAAGTGGCTAGTATATATTCTAGGTCACCAAAGATGAAAGGCAAAGAATGTCTTAGTCAACCACTATTTTCACATCCTATTAACTCCCTAGTAAAGGAACGAAAGCATTGCTTCAAAATAAAACTGCTCATCTTTCAATAATCTAAGCAGGAAGCATATTTCAACAACTCAGACTTCCCAAGATTTGTTTACATTTCCTCTGCTATGAAAAGGTCATACTTCCCAGTCTTAAAGATCAAACATCTCCCCCCTTCCTAATCTTCTGGCATTTGTGTGTTCTGGTCAATACCAGAAATTTAGACTCCTAACAATGCTATCAAGTGTAAGATAAAAACATATACAAATTAATAATTTAGAGGAAAATCCCAAGTCCTTACTTATTCTGAGGTGAACAGGGTCTTGTTAAATACTGGCACATCGGGAGGAGGAGGAAAGCAAAAGCTATTGTTGCAAGAACTAGAGAAAGAAAATATATGGTTAAGTTTTATTTTCAACAACCATAAGAAAAATGGCATGACTTATGGAAACACTGATAGCCCAGAAAACTTTTCTCAACAAGTAGATGCAATTAATTAACTAGAGACAAAAAAAAGTCTTCTGTTAGCACTGTACGGATCGTCTTGAGAAGAAAGAAGTACCTGATTTGAAGTAGGGGAGGCAGAGCCATCTAGGGTTTCTCATTCTCTTCTATCTTAATACGAAAAGAGAAACAGCGGGCCAGGGGATGATCTGACATGTCCAGCATTTTGCTGATGTTTTATACACTTCCATCACCTCTTGGCTTAAAAACTGATCAAGGGGCTGACAGTCAAATTACTTTGATTAGTTATCAACTGTGTCTGTCTACAGAAACATCAGTGCGGGTTACAAATGACCACTCTGCCACACTGGATCTTCTGGTAAACCTCCCAGACAAGGAGCCACAGTCACAGTGGTCCTACTCTGGTGTCATAAAGCCCACACATTTTCAAACCCTTGGTCTTTTGTTCAGGCTGTGCTGGCAGTCCCAAACTGATGATATATGTATCCAGTGGTTCAAGGAGAAGTGTGAGGAGAAAAAAACAGACTTAAGAAAAATGTGCATGGCATGGTATATAAATCTTAAGTTTTGAATGATGATTAAAAAGAGGTGAAAAAAATTCCTTTTAGGTTAATGTTTAAGAAGAGAGAAGAAACTCATTTACCTGCTGTACATATTGTAAAAACTACTTGAACTGAGTCAAAGAAGAAGAACATTACTAGGAGAGAGACAGATGCTCCAATTGGAAGGAACAGGGCCTGGGTAGAGTCAATAGTTTGGATACCTGAAAAAGAAAAAAGAACATATTAACGACTTAAGTAAAAGGCGCTGTGCCCATGTACTCCAGAGACTTTAACACTTCTAGGGTTAGTATATAAGATATAAATTATCTAGGTCCCCCGATTCTTTCCTTCCCACTGAGATTATGAACTCCTTGCTCTCCTCATGGTGCCTTCATTAGCTACCTCCTGGTGCTAACAATGGTTGACAGGGTGCCAAAAAAAAAACAACACCCCAAAACAAACAAAAACAAAAAGAACATCAACAGCTAGTAAAAATTCAGATTAGTTGGGACGCCTGGGTGGCTTAGTCAATTAAGCGTTTGCCTTCTGCCTCTGGCTCAGGTCATGGTCCCAAGGTCCTGGGATCAAGCCCCGCCTCGGGCTCCTTGCTGGGCGGCAAGCCTGCTTCTCCCTCTCCCTCCCTCCACCTGCAGCTTGAGCTCTCTCTCTCTCTCAAAGAAATAAATAAAATCTTAAAAAAAAAATTCAGATTCGTCAACTTCTGTACATTTGTAGTCTCATTTGCAGGTCTGGTAAAAGAGACGGTTTAAATCCACTGACTAAAATCATTTCTCATCATCTACGGATTTATTCATGTTCACTCTTCCCCACTGTTGCTGAGGATCAACTCTGGGTGGAGTCGGGGAGTGGAGGGAATATGACATCTGAAAGCTGAAAATCAGAAAAATTATTTTAGGGCGCCTGGGTGGCTCAGTTGGTTAAGCGACTGCCTTCGGCTCAGGTCATGATCCTGGAGTCCCGGGATCGAGTCCCGCGTCGGGCTCCCTGCTGAGCAGGGAGTCTGCTTCTCCTTCTGACCCTCCCCCCTCTAATGCTCTTATCTCATTCTCTCTCTCAAATAAATAAATAAATAAATAAATAAAATATTAAAAAAATTATTTTAAGGAATAGGAGATAAATGGGAGAAAACAATTACTTGGGACACAGTAGGATTTAGCACATTGGTTTTCAGTTCTTGGTTACTCATTAGAATCACCTGGAGAGCTGTAACAATTACAATGCTCAGGCCCAACCCCAGATCAATGAAACTGAAATCTCTGGGGGTTAGCAGGCCCAGCTAAAAACCCCCACAAGTTTGCATATAGAGTTGAGAAGCATTAATAAAATATTTGGTAGAGAAGAGAAACATGGCAAAATCTGATAACCACTGAATTAAAAAATTACTAATCTTGTGTGTAATCTACTTCCAAATTAACCCTGCTGAGATAAAAAGTTCTTGAGAGGAGTCAAAGAAAAAACATTCATATGAGCTATTATAAAGAAATATCAGAAGCCTCTCTTCATTAAATTAAGGCTATGAGTAAGATATAAGGTGACCAGGATGAACATAACTAGGCACAAAGGGTTGCAATCATCAACGCTTAAAAACTGCTCTTTGGTATTGAAATTTACCTGTCCCAAGAAAGCTATTTAGGTATTTTAGTTAAATAAAATATTAAATATTTCTACAAAACAAAATTACTTCTTACTGGCTAGGTGGATGAGTCAAATAATTCACCTATGAATAGGACATTTCTTCTTTTTCTATTTATTGACAGAGAGAGACAGCAAGAGCGGGAACACAAGGGAGAGGGAGCAGCAGGCTTCCCGCGGAGCAGGGAGTCCGATGTAGGGCTCGATCCCAGGACCCTGGGACCATGACCTGAGCTGAATGCTTAGCAACTGAGCCACCCAGGCGCCCCAGGGAGGAGTGATCTATGTGTCAAGACAGAGATGCTCTTAAGAAGATGGCTGACCAGAACTGCAAACTACTTCACTTGGCCCCTGGATCATTTGTGTATGGGGGGGTGGGTGGGTATCTTACTTAAAGTGAAGTGTCTTATGGACATTTATGAGACAAAACTCCATGAAATCTCTAATTGAATTTCACCTAATTGTTTTATTTGAGTGCTCTACACCAGGTTAAAGAACTACTAGAGGAAACTACAGATTTCAGGTGCCTTTCACAACAGAAAATAATGGTTTCTCAAATGAATAATTGTTATATGAGAGACAAATCTTAAAAAAAAATTGTAAATCTTAAAACACACATCCACACCCCCCTCTTTTGTAAAACAAAACATCATATAGTCTACAGATTAATTATATTGGTTTAAAATATGCACCAAAAATTTAAATGGCTGGCTAGAATTTAGTGAGTCAGGTATATGAGAAGTATTTGTTTAAAAAATCTAGGGCGCCTGGGTGGCTCAGTCGTTAAGTGTCTGCCTTCGGCTCAGGTCATGATCCCAGAGTCCTGGGATCGAGCCCCGCATTGGGCCTCCTGCTCCGCAGAAAGCCTGCTTCTCCCTCTGCCTCTCGCCCTGCTTATGTTCCTTCTCTCGCTGTGTCTCTCTCTGTCAAATAAATAAATAAAATCTTTAAAAAAAAAATCTAAATTTTAGAAGTTCAGTCTCCAATTAAGGTGCAAAACCGAATACAAAGAGCTTTTCTAGAATATTAGATAGAATGCACAGATTTTTGTTTTTTAAGAGTACAGATTTAAACCAAGAGGTATGAGACACTGCTTCCATTAGTTTTATATGCCCAAGGGAGTTTACCAAACAGCAATGTCACAGGGCAAGTGAAATTCCTTTAGTTGCTCACAGTATGTTCCTGAAAAAAATGTATACAATTTTAATATTGTACTTCCTAAAGGTCTGGAGATAATGGTCCTGTAGGGGATGGAGCTAATTAATTAGAAATTTCTGCCAAATTTCAGTGACTTCAAAACAAAGCAAAGCAAAACAGAGTCGTCATAATTAGGAGTTACTCAAATGCAGTTGGCATTACCTTTAAAGCCAAAATTAACATCAGAAATAGGCACGGTTTTCTCTTCAAGGCGGACCCTAGAGATAAGGTACTTTAGGACAGTGGCAAGAAGCTGCTAAGAGATGGAGGGCAGTCGCAAAAAAAAAAAAAAAAAAAAACAAACCAAAACAAAAGAAAAACAGGCATGGTGATGGAAAATATTATCACTATCACTATCACTTCATTATACAGAGAAATTATTTTTAGCATTTAGTGAACAAGGCTATAGGCTAAATATAGGGTCATGAAATAGATACTGAAAAATATACACCAGCATTATTATTGATAATTACTAAGAAAGTTACCGATTTTGCACCTCCATGAAAGAAGCATGCTGAAATTTCCACTATTTACTGAGCACCTATTACACAGTAGGTAACATGAGGGCTTCAAAAATCTGTACAATCTTCACAGTTCAGATAAATTACATGGGAAGCCTGGTAAAGGACTTCAAGATGTCAGATATTGGGGGTAAGGGTGGGAGTTGTCCTTTTTTTAACCCACTTAATACTGATTAAATGAAGGACTGGTGTGCCAAGAGGAAAAATCTATAGATTTTTGGGGGCAGATATAGGGATGAGACAGGATTTAGAGCCAGGTTCACGAAAATCAGAGAGGACCTAGAGGGCACTCCCTCTTCCCCACTTTCTTTCTAACTCTTTTTATTGTAAAACACAACAAGCATACAGCAAAGTACATAAAACAAAAATGTAGAGTTCAGTCAATCAGTTAATACCACCCAGGTCAGGAAACCCTGCCAAGCCCAGAAGCCTTTCTTGCGCCCCTCCCAGTCCCTATTCTTTTCCCCAAAGGGAACTACTATCCTGGCTTTTATGATACTTTCTTCTTTTCTCTGTTTTATATGTTTTCTACTCAAGTGCACATCCTAAAATACTAATATTTATTTTGCCTATTTTTTGAGCTTATTTCATACATTGAATTACAGTAGCACGTATTTTTGTGTGTTTGGCTTTTTTTTTTTTTTTAAGGTTTTATTTATTTATTTGACAGAGAGAGACAGCGAGAGAGGGAACACAAGCAGGGGGAGTGGGAGAGGGAGAAGCGGGCCTCCCGCCGAGCAGGGAGCCCGATGTGGGGCTCGATCCCAGGACCCCATGACCTGAGCCGAAGGCAGACGCTTAATGACTGAGCCACCCAGGTGCCCGTTTGGCTTCTTTTAACGCTCAACATTGTGAGCAGCATCCATGCTGTTTAGGTAACTGTATGTCACTCATTTTTGTGTCTTTTTCACAATTCTTTGATTCTTATTTATTTTGGGAGTAGGCAACTGCAACCTTTATTTTTAATTTTTTTTTAAATTTTGCAACCTTTAAAAACAACTTCTACCTATTTACACTTTCTCCTTCAATCAGTTCAGAACACTCTTGCCAAAATCTGAACACTAAACTCATACCTTCCTTTCCTGAGAACTTCCCCGTAATTCTTCCACATTGTTATCATTCAGGACTTCAATCTCTTTAGCACCTACACAATCTCTTGTGTTTCTCTGTTCATCTTTCTGGCTGTTATTTCTTTGATTTTGATAAATGTACCCCATTTTCCATGCTGTCCCTTCAATCTGGAATGGTGTCATGCTCCATGATCAAGTACTGGCCTTCCCTGGTGCAACAGCCATTTCTTTCCTTGTGTTTTTCCTGATTATGTGGTAGTGGAATGTATTCTCTCCTAATCTGTGTCTATCCCTTCTCGTATCCATAGCCCAGATGAGGCACCAAGGAAACACATTTTATAGGATAATTTAGCACAACACAGGAGGTAGATTTAAGAAAATGACCATTTAAACAAACATCTACTACTCTTCAGAAGTCAGTGGTGAGAAATGAAACTGATGTCACCAGGTAACTTCCTTCCACTGTTATGAACTGACCTAATCATTTATTTGAGGATAAAATTGTACTTAGACACACAGTGTCCATTTCTCTTAGGTTTCTGTGATTCAATGTACAATGGATTTATAATCATGTTTAAATACATCATTTGCAATATATTCTACATAACACAGGACTTGTAAAGGAGTTTCAGTTGTATAAAGTGATTTGGCCTAAAATGTTGATAGAAGATAAATGCTATAAAATCATTTAACCTTAAAATCAGGTATTGACCCTGGGTTTTACCTGGTTCCTCTTAAGTTACAGGTATGGTATTTTACCTCATACAAGGATCATTGTCATAAGTTTAAGAAAAGACTCATATTTAAATGATTCTATTTGTAATGCCCACTTTACACTCCTGGGGACAACGAACACATTTAACTGGGTGAAAACCAGGCAAGTATAATTTGGCGGGAAGGGTAGTAATTAGAGAAACCGAGTGATCTCTTTTCAATTTAGCTTCTAAAATTCTCCATCAGTATTCCAACTTTACATTGGATCCTCAGTATCTCCTCCCCATTAGGGTGGTAACTTGAGGCTGTCCTGTAAGTCATGCTCATTCTCTCTGTGTCTGTTATCAGATGCTCTTCCCACCCATATTGACTTCTCCCAGCAATCCAAGTTCACTGTTTCAAATTTCAGGTCAAACTCACCTTCTCTGGGAGGGGAGTCCCTTATTAAATTGACCTATGGTGGCTCACCCTGACTTGCCTTTCTTTTTACTCTCGGTGTACATGGATGTCAAATGAGTTCATCTCTAGTGCTTACTCTGATCTAGTGACATTAGATGTTTGTTCAGAAGTACTCTGAGGCTATGGTCAAAGGGTCTGTGAGAGAAAGTTCTTATTCCAGGGACGGGAAGTGGTATTTACTATCTCTGTCTTAGTACTTTATTAACGCCTTACAAAGTGTTTTGGCCACACTGCCTAGTGATAGCTTGGGTACCAGCTCTTGTGCTTTTTCAGCTTTCAAAATATCTAATAGAATATCCAAAAAATATATATCTAATAAATTGCACGGTAGGAACCCAGTATCAAGCTCTTGATTATCAAATCAAGTCTCCTTATTTATAATTCAATTCCCCTTATAATAAGTATCACCATTTTCTATAACTCTACTGAGGCACAATATACATATGGCAAAATTTACCCATCTTAAGTGTCTAATACTTGCCAGGCAACTACAAATCCACTCTCTATCTCTCCATATTTGCCTTTTTGGAAATTTCATGTAAGTGGACTCACAGAATATGTAGTCTTTCCTGTCTGGCTTCTTAACATAATGTTTTGAGGTTCATACATGTTGTAGCATGTACATGTATCAGTACTTCATTCTCTTTAATGCTGAATAGTATTCCATTGTATGGATAGGCCATATTTTGTTTATCCATCAACTAGTTTATTATCTCTGAGTTGTGTTTCTACTTTTTGGCCATTATAAACAATGCTGCCAAACATTTGCCATCTAGCACACTTCTATTTCTTATAAAGCAAGCATTCTTTTTTTTTTTTTGAGCTAAGTTTGATTTATTTTTTTTATTAACATACAATTTGTTATTTGTTTCAGGGGTACAGGTCTGTGATTCATCAGTCTTACACAATTCACAGCGCTCACCATAGCACATACCCTCCCCAATGTCCATCACCCAGCCACCCCATCCCTCCCACCCCCTTCACTCCAGCAACCCTCAGTTTGTTTCCTGAGATTAAGAGTCTCTTATGGTTTGTCTCCCTCTCTGGTTTTGTCTTGTTTCATTTTTCCCTCCCTTCCCCTATGATCCTCTGTCTTGTTTCTCAAATTCCTCATATCAGTGATTAACTTATTTCATAAAGCAAGCATTCTTATAAAATCTTTACTATCAGAAGAGGTTGTCACAATACTTAGTTTTACAAGTACTTCAAGTAACTATCTTCAAAGAATCCCTGAATGAATTTGTGATCAACACTTACAAAATTATCGACCTCACCAAAGGATTTAAATGAAATCATAAGCAGGCAGGATACCTACCTATCCTACTTGTTTTTAAGAAAATAATCTTAGCAGCAAGCTTTTAGGCATGAGTTAAAAGCAGTACACAAGAAATCACTGGTTTAGATTCAGAACATAAGAATTTTTACAAATTATGCCAATACAGATTAGATTTTATTATTATAACCAAACATAAATCTTTAAACCCAGTAAATTAACTGGGGTTATAGAAAGAATCTAATTAAGACCACTACATGTATTAAAGTTAACTGACATAAAATTCCTTACTATTATTGGTGCTGTTGCCATTGAAAGACCCAGAAGAACTGCTACTGTCTTTCTCCTTATCTTGATTTTCAAAGTCCATATTAAGGGACCTGTGGAAAAAATTATATAAGTTTTAATTTTGAAAGAAAGTAGGTCCAAAAAGTCAGTAATGAGACTATATTTTAATATGCTAAGGCATTAGGAACGATAGGAGAGGCTCTTTTGAACAACTCTGCAAAACAGTTCTTGTAGCCACATTTTGAAAAACAATCTACATTCCTTCTAATATGTCAGTTCAAGAGTTCTCCTGACTGCAAATAAAAGCATTCCATTGTGGCTGAATCTTCCAGCCATATCTCTGTGCACATCCTTAATTACTTCCTATGATAAATATCTAGAAAGAGAAAAGTTAGGTCAAAGGGCAAGCACAATTTTGAGACTTTAACGTACTACACAACTGCTTCCAAGAAGGTTGTACCAATTTACTCTCTGATAGCAGTATATGAGAACATTTTTTTTTTCTCTACACCTTGTCAGCTTTCATTTAACAACAACATATACTTGAGTTTCTGCGTATATAGGACTGTTCTACATAATGGAGGGACAAAAAATAGTGCATAAAACACGCTTTCATGGATTGTACATTCAAAGAGGGAGGACACTGACAATAAACAAGAAAAGTAAGTTAGATGTATGTTAATGGTACCAGCTAATGAGAAAATGCAGGAAATGAAAAGACTAAGTTTGAAATTTTAAATACGGTGGGTTGGGAAGGCCTCACTGGTGTGATTTCTGAGTCAAGACCTGAAGGAAGTAGTCACTGCCCATCTGGAGAACTAACAATGCAATCTCTGCTCTAATTTTGCATTCTTTAACTACTAAACAATTTTGTGTACATGAGTTCACTCCTTTCTTTTTTGGTAAACTAACTGTTCAAGTCCTTAGCTCATCTTCAACTATATTAAAGTGTTTGTGTCCTAAAGCACTTCCTGCAATGATGGAAACATTCTATATCTACACTGGGTAGACATTAGCCACATAAGTACTTAATATGTGGGAGTGCAATGAGGAACTGAATTCTACTTATAATTTAAAAATATGGGAGCTAAAACTATAAAATTCTTAGATGAAACATAGGGATAAATCTTCATGATCTTGGATTTGGCAGTGGATTCTTATACATGATGCCAAAGACACAGCCAAAATTGGTAAATTGGACTTCATCAACATAAAAATCTTGTGCTTCAAAGGACACAATCAAAAAAGTCCCAACCCATAGGATGGGAGAAAATATCTGCTATTATGTCTGATAAGAGCCTTGTATTCAGAAGATACAAGAACTCCTACAATTCAATAAAGACAAACCAATTAAACAATAAGCAACGAATCTGAATAAATACTTCTCCAAAGAAGATATGCAAATAAAAAAGATATGCAAATGAAAAAAGATATGCAAATGGATGCCAATAAACATACAGAAAGATTTTTCACATCATCAATGTCAGGGAAATACAAATCCAAACAGAATGAGCTAGCACTTCACACCTACGAGGAGGGCTATAACCAGAAAATCAGATAATAACCAAGTGTCAAGCAAGGACATTGCTGATGGGAATGTAAATTGATGCAGACACTCTGGAAAACAGTCTGACATTTTCAATTTCTTTAATAAATATAGGGCTATTCAGGGTATTGATTTCTTCTTGAGTGAGCTTTAGCAAATTGTGTCTTTCAAAGAATTGGTCCATTTCATCTAAGTCATCAAATTTACTGGCGTAAAGTTGTTGACAGTGGTCCCTTATTATCGTTTTAATACCTGGAGGCTCTAGTTATACCACCTCTGTCATTCCTGATACTGTTTTTATGGCTTCTCTTTTTCCTGATTATTCTGGCCAGAGGTTACCACTTTTATTGGTCTTTAAAAATTAGCTTTTGGATTCACGAATTTTTCTCTACCCCTAGAGAAAATATTTCACTTATTTTGGCTTTGATCTTTATTCTTACCTTTTGCCTATTTACTAAATTGAGTTTAATTTGCTCTCCTCCCGCCTAGTTTAAGATTAAAGTTTAGATCATTGATACCTTTTTCTTCTATTCTAACCTAGGCATTTAGAGGTGTAATTCCTCCCCTAAGTATTGCTTTTGCAGCGTCCCATAAATTTAGCATGTTTTCACTTTCTCTTAATTCAATGTATTTTCCATTTTCCTGCTTCTTTTTTGATTCATGGAAGTGTTATTTTTGTTTCCAAATATCTGGGAATTTTCTAGACCTCTTTCTATTACTGATTTCTAATTTGATTCAATTGTGATCTGTTAGGGACTGAATGTTTGTGTCAACTCCCCTCCACTACCCCCCAAAAGAGTTCATTTGTTGAAGCCCTAACTCTCAATATGATGGTTATTTGGTGACTGGGTCTTTGGGATGTAATTCTGCTGTGATCATGAGGGCGGGGTCCTCATGATGGAATTAGTATCCTTCTAAGAAGAGATCCCAGAGAGCTTGCTCTCTCTCTCCTGAGTGTGCACACACCAAGGAAAAACCATGTGAGCATGCATCGAGAAGGTGGCTGTCTTGCAGGCCAGGTAGAGTGCTCACCAAAACCCAACCATGCTGGCACCCTGACCTTGGATTTCCAGCCTCCTGGGACTAAGAAAAAATAAATTTCTGTTGTTTAAAGCCATCCAGTCTGGTATTTTGTTATGGCAGGCCCAGTTAACTAACAGAGATCAGAGATCATACTTTTTATGCCTTGTATCCACATATTGAGACTTGTTTTATGTCCCAAAATATGTTCTATCTTGCTAAATGTTCCATGTGCACTTGAGAATAATGCATATTCTCCTGTCAGATGAGTGTTCTACGAATATCAGGTCAAGTTGGTTCAGAATACTGTTCAAGCCACGATATCTTTACTGATTTTCTGACAATTTGTTTTATCAAGTACTAAGAGAGAGGTCCTGAAATCTTCAGCTGTATCTGTGAATTTGTTTTATTTCTCCTTGAAGTCTGTTATCAGTTTTTGCTTCATATATTTTGAAGATTTTATGTGATGCATAAACATTTAGGTTTATTATGTCTTGTTAATTGATTCCTTTATCATTATGAAATAACCTTGTCTACAGTAATATTCCTTGCTCTGAAAGCTCCTTTGTCTGATATTAATATAATTAACTCTAGCTTTCTTTTGATGAATATAAGGTATATCTTTTCCCAGTCTTTTACTTTAAATCTTTTTCTAGCTTCATTATCTGTAATGTACTTTTTGAAAGCTGCAGATAATTGGATGTTGCTTTTTACTTTTTTAATTCAATCTGACAACTGTTGTCTTTTGATTGCCGTGCTTAGGCCAATTTCATTTAACATGATTACTGTTGTGATTAGGTTTGAGACTATCATGTTGCTGTCTGTCCTATCTTTTTTTGTTGTTCCCCTTTACCTGACTTCTTTTGTATTAATAGTTTTTATTTTATTTTTAAAGATTTTTTATTTATTTGACAGAGAGAGAGACAACACAAGCAGAGAGAGTGGGAGAGGGAGAAGCAGGCTTCCTGCCGAGCAGGGAGCCCGATGCGGGGCTCGATCCCAGGACCCTGAGATCATGACCTGAGCCGAAGGCAGTCGCTTAACAACTGAGCCACCCAGGTGCCCCGATAGTTTTTTTTTTTTTTTAAGATTTATTTATTTAGAGAGAGAGCACAATCGGGGAGGGGCAGAGGGAGAGGGAGAGAAATCCTCAAGCAGATTCCCTGCTGAGCATGGAGCTAGATGTGAGGCTCAATCCCAGGACCCTGAGATCATGAACTGAGCCAAAATCAAGAGTCAGCCACTTAACCGACTAAGCCACACAGGTGCCCTAGGATTAACATAGTATTTAAATGATTATCTTTTATCTCTTTTGTTGTCTTATTATCTGTAACTCTTGTTCTCTTATTTTAGTGGTCACTGAGCATTTATATTAAACATTTTTAACCAGTAGAGTGTACCTTCAAGTTACATTATAGTACTTCATGTATAGTATAAAAACCTGACAACAGTGTACAATTATTACTCTGAATCTTTGGACAATTACCATGCATTTTACTTTTACATGTTATCCTATAAACTGTACAGTATACTGTTATTTCTGTTTATACAATTATATTCTAAAAAGTTTTAAATAATAAGAAAATAGTCCTTCTATATTTATCAATATTACAATTCCTGGTGATCTTTATTCCTTTGTCAGTAGTCCTCGATTCTCTGATGTGAAAATGGGCAGCAGTCATTTAAACTTGATCCAAACACTCTGCATCTTATAAAGATCTAGAAGCAGTAAAATAAGTATGTAACGCTTGTGGAATGTACAGTGCATATCGGCAGGACATGCCTCACATTACAATTTGCCTGCTTGCTTCTTCTGTTGTTTCTTTTGAGGGTAATTTTTCTCTTGCATTTCTATCTCCTTCAATTTTGACTTACTGAATTTCTCAATCTCAGCCATATCGGGTTTGTGAGACATGGTTACAGGGACACAGAGTGAGGTGCATGAGCAAGCAGTGTCTGGTATGAGCAGTGGCTGCCACTGAGTGCCCATTCAGTGTATTTTTGATCTCAGATGTTGTTGTTTTCACCTCCAGAGGCTTAATTTTGGGTATTTAAGAGTATCTTCCATGTATCTACCTAACTTTTTGTAGAGAGGAATATAACATCAGTTTTGATGTACTTCTCTGCTAATTCCAACATATGTGTCAGTTCTGGGTTGGTTTTGATAGATTATTTGCCTCATCATTGGTCATGTTTTCCTTCTTCTTTGCTGCTGCCTGGTCATCTCTGCTTGTATGCCAGACACTGTGAGTTTTACTTTGTCTCAGTATTTTTATGTTCCCACAAATCTTCTTGAGCTTTGTTCTGGGATGCTGTTAGTTACTTAGACGTGGTATGTGTTCAGGTATTGCTTTTACAATTTATTAGGCAGTGCTCAATTTAGGGTAATTACTCTCTACCAACTGAGGCAAGCCCTTTCTGAGTACTCTCTACCCAATGCCACGTGAATCATAAGGTTTTCCAATCTGGCTGATGGGAGTAGGTACTCTGCTTCTAATCCTTTCACATTATTTTTTCCTTAGCTTT